CAAGTTGCTGAGATTTCAGGCATGTGCCACTGTACCTGGCTGTTTTTTTAAAATAATTATAATTTTGTAAATTTTTAGATTTTTTTTTTTTGTGTGTGTGTGTTCAGAGTCTTGTACACTTTTTCTTCCAGGATGAAGTTTCTGGGGATGTTACATCAGTAAGCTAGATATACAGCAATTCCTGACTTATCATTTCTCTGTTCTTGATTTGTGCTCATTAATGTGACACTACACTGCACAATGATTGTAATTTTCCTGAACTTTAGTTCTGCTAATAATGGAAGGTTAATAAAATAGAAAGAAGTGATAGGCATCTTGACATGGTAACATTAACAAGATGGTGTATTGATAAAGTGTTTTGAGCTCTGGGTTAGAGCCATCATAGAAATTATAGTGAATTATTAATACTGCCTAACGCATCATCCCTGCTGCCCTACCTGGATAATTGTCTAAAGTCATTTTATTATTTCTTGGGGAAAAGGGAGTGCTGACATTTGCCCTGCCAGGCTGTCTGGTCTTTGAAATAGTTGATCAGAATGATTAGAGTAACAAATATTCAAACTACTTAATAACTGGTGTTAGAGTATATGTATCATCAATCATGGTGTCACCAGCTCATTATAAGGTGCCCTGGGGTAATCCAGTAAGGACACACACCATGGTAATGTCCAACAGTATTATACCAGGTGAGTATCATTGCTGATTTTGATTCCTTTTTGGACCATTCAGTCTTTCTTAGTCAGTTGCTTTTACATGTTAATGTAGCATTTGGGTAGGTTTGGTTTTGAGGGGTGAAGGAGAAGTCTATTGATCCAACAATGGCTCTTCTGACATTTTAGACTCTGCTGTCACCTACAAAAGTTGTAGCCAATATGGTCATGATTTCATAACACATAGATCAAGAGTTAAATGCAGCACAGCCTATGAAGAGTTTTTTTTTTTTTTTTTTTTTTTAAAGTATGGTCCGTGGCAATCAGAGAGGTCTGAGATACTCAAAGACAAATTGAAAAGTACCATGAACTTGCCTGTGGCTAACAATAACAATTTTCACTGTATAAAGACTACTACAAACACATTAAAGAAGACATTTTAAAGAAATAATTCTTTTAAAAGTTTTAGCTTCCCTTTATTCTTTCCAAATACCATATCCTTTCCCACCCACTTCCCCCTTCAAAAATACCTTCTCAGAACATTTATTAAATTGTAGATTTGGTGGATTTCCTCAGTTGCTTAAGGCATAGTTCTAATACTAAAATAAATGATGGGCAAAACTTTGTTCATTAGCTTTTTGAGGAAAAAAATAATGCATCATACAATACCAGAATAAGTCAAAGGCACATCTAAAAGAATGTGTCCTGGATTAAATGGACAGTAGGCTTCTCTTTTCCCATTTACTCATTCCAAAAAAGATTGAATCATACTTCTATAGACAATACTCCCTGTATTCACATGAAAAAAATATCCAGATTTAGCATCTAGTACTATGGTGTGTGTGTGTGTGTGTGTGTGTGTGTGTGTGTGTGTCCCCGCACGCGCCACCTGTGTGTGCCTGTGTAAAGAAAGATTGGGAGCTGGAGAATTTATTGGGGGACAGTGGAAATAGGGAAAATAGTTAGCCAGGGGAAAAAAATTCCCCAAATGGTTTTCAGAACATGGTTCTCAACATGTGCTCCTGAGATCCATAGCATTAGCATCAATTGGCAACCTTATTAGAAATACAGATTTTTAGATACATCCCCAAACTTTCTGGATAGGAAACCCTGGGTGGTTCCAGCTGCTGTGTTTGATTAAATCCTTCAAGTGCTTCTGGTACAAGTTTAGAAGAACAGCTCTGGAGTACATTTAAGATCTGCTTGGGTGACTGAAGGAAAAGGCAGCTCCACAAGGAATTACAGCCAATGACTACTTTGGGCCTTTGCTTCTGAGATGTAATCATGACTCAGGATCACATCTGTGTCAGGCACCTGTCCTGGCTTTCCTGTGGTTGAGGACCTCCAACTTTTCTTCCTGGGTTATGACTATTTTTTTTTACATCAACAGTTATCTGCTTCAAAAGAATACTGGGTCTAAATTGTTCATTTTTGCTCTTTTCCTCACAAGAAATGAAAGAGTTGGTTTTCTATTTATAATGTACTTTATCTATTTAAAAATACTTTTCTATTTAAACTTTTTTTCCCTTTCATCTTACTTTGAGTTGCTAAATTTTGCTGAAGGAGTTGAGCTCAGTTTTCCTGCTTAAAGTCTTGACTACCTATGGTAGTGCTAAATACTCCAAATTTTGAACATTGTATCTGGTGAAAACCAGCCACAGAATTTTTAAAGAGCTGCCAGGAAACTTGAGGTCTCAATGCAATTTGCATATTGTATAATTCAATTTTTCACTCAAGCTTTTGATGTAGTTTCCCCTAGCAGGAAAATAAAAATGTTACTGTACCATTTATTTTTATTTTTATTTATTTTTAAGCATGCCCAACCTTATGAGATAATTTTTGTTTATTCATCATGTTTGCAAAACGTGCTCCTCCCCTTCCTTGCCCTTTCTTTTTCTCCTCTTCTTCCCCCCTCTTCTCCTTTCTTCACCTCTCCTTTCTTTCATTTTGAAAAATATATATTATTTTCTCATATACCAAAAAATATTTTACATTTTAAAAAAATCAAATAGACTTGTTTAATATGAAAGTGAAGAATTTGAAAGAAGAATGACCAAAAAAAAAAAAAAAAAAAAGGAAGGTGAGTTTAAGAACTCAGCACAGAAAGGAGGAAAGGAGTGTTCCTCATCCTTGGAAGTGAAATGGCAGGTGGGGTGCTCTTGGAATGTACCATTGGGAACCTGAGTCTGGGTTAGGCCTATGGCCTGGGTGTGGTAGCTATAATGTAAATAAGTCAAGTAATTTTTTTCTGGGTCATTCACTTGTCATTTGACCTGGTGGCTTAGTTATGCTGAGCAGCTGAGACTTGTTTTTCCACCTGAAAATCAGATGCTAAATATGTAGTTCTGCGAGTTGTCACAGGACTAAGGGAAACCATACATGTGATGAAGGTGGAGTCTCAGCATATGAGCATCCTGCATCTAGCACGTGTTTATACATGGAGTTATGATTCATCTGTTGAATAGTACACTGTTGTATTAAAATACCATGATTTAGGCTGGATGTGATGGTAAACACCTATAATCCCAGTGACTATGAAGGCTGAAGCAGGAGGATTGCAGGTTTGAGGCCAGCCTCAACAACTTACCCAGGGCCTAAGCAACTTAGCAAGACTGTATCTCAAAATAAAAAAGTGGAATGGCTCAGTGGGATGTGGTTCAGTGGTTAAGCATCCTCAATCAATCCCTGGTATAGAAAAGAAGAAGGAAAAAAAACAGTTTCCTGGTAACATAATATAATGAACATTCATCTGTAATATCTCTTTTTATGCACATATACAAAATTTGACTAGAGTAAATAACTGGAATTAGAATTACTGGGTACTAGTTTGCAGACATCTTTTCTAGATAATATCAGATTATTGTCCAAGTACCTGTTAGTACTTCTTCTAGGAGAGCATAGGTTTTCTCTTTGCTTTGCAGTTTTGTTGATAATTGTTGTTGCCAGACTTCAAAAGTTCTGTAAATTTGATAGGTGGTAATTTTGTTTCATGTGGTTTTATTTGGCTTTATCTAATTACCAATTAGATAGGACATATTTCATTTGTTTTCTTTTTTGAGAAATGCTTGTTTAGATCTTTTCAAAGGAATTTCTTTAGTGTTGTTTTAATTTTAATTTTTGTGAGTCTTTGTTATTTTAGAATGCAAATAAGTGATTCTTTATCAGTCATGTGCTTTGGAAGTCAATTCTCCTAGTTTTGGGCTTCTGTTTTTACTTTTTGTAAACAATATCTTTTGACTGAACAAGATTTCTTATTTTTTCATTTTGTGATTGCCTTTGTGTGTGTGCGTGTTATGTGTTTGTGCTTAATAAATACTTTTCAGGAGGCATTCTCTACTTTGCCAATTCTAAAGTGTTTTTTTTTTTTTCCTTCACATTTTGAAATCTAAAACTCTTGGAAATGATTTGTGTGTGTGAGTAAGTGTATGTGTGTGTTTGTGTGTGTGTGTGTGTGTGTGAAATGAGGTTGTGATTGATGCAATTTCTTTTCAGCATGTACAACCAACTATATCATCATCATTTAATTAGAAATCCATCACTTCCACACCGCTTTGCATGGTCTCTGCCAGATAACAAGCTTTCTTATGAGTGCAGGTCTGCTTTTGGAATCTTCATTCTGTGCCCTGAGTCGACTTCTGTTCTGTCTCCACATTGTCTTACACAACAGTTAAAATTAATTCTGATATCTGATAGATAATGTACATAATGAGCATATTTCAATTATGCTCTTTTTCTGGATTTTCTTGAATATTTGCCCCTCGATTTTCTGTATAAAAATTTAATTAGCTTAAGTGTTTACAGATGCAGCAATGTTTCAGAACAAGATGGTTTAAAATAACATGCTGTATACAACAAATATACACGATCTTGATTTGTTAATTTAAAATTAAAAATAAAAAGAATTAAAAAAAGATCTTACACATGTGTACACAAATAATGTGATTTTTCTGGTAATTGCATTGAATATAGAGAAGTATTTGGGAGAGGATTTTCAGGTTTGTATATTTAGTCTTCCAACCATTACATTAAGAAGGTCTATTTATTGAGATTTCAACTTACAATTCTTTTTTTTTGTTGTTGTTCTTAGGGTCTCCATTAGTCATTTTTTTTATGGGCTCCGTAATGTATTTCCAGGTTTCCTTGTTGGTATAATACATAATCTGAACATTTTTCAACAGCATGATAATACATATCTAGTCCATTATCCTACTAGAAGTAGAAGACTTATTTAAAGTATTTTTAAATGCAGTTGTCTATTTAAATATCTATTACCATTTTGAATTTGTTTCTTCTGCCAATGTATATATGGATGCTTACAAAAAACACATGTCTATTTACTTTTAGGTGGGAAAATGGTAATCTGTGAAATAGCCCATTTTTGGTCAGGAGGAACTACACGAAGTACAGCTGAAGGAAATTTGATTGACATGGAAGGAGAAAACCTCTCAAAAAACTGCAATATTACAGGTACAGAAATGTATGACTATTGTAATTTTTCCATGTATGTAAATCAGATCCATCATCAATAGCTACTGAATGTGTACTTCTAAAATCCACCAATAAGTCCTGAAGTTCTACCTCCTGTTACAGGAGATTAAAAGAATTATAAAATCCTCTTGTTATCACAGAATTGTTCTAGTATTATTGAAGACATGCAAAAAATGTACAGCTTATAATTAGATTATAATAAATTTTATAAAAAGGCAAAAATCATTAATAAATGAGTAGTATATGCAACAAATAGAATGAATCTGGGGTAAAAGAGATCTTTGGAAGATGGAGGGATTTAAGAAAACTTCCTGGGACAGAAAACAATGGAATTGAACCTAGAGAAAAAAAATGAATTTTAAGAATTAAGAGTAATTGGATTGAAAATCAGTGTAGAAATAAAAGAAAAACTACTTTTATTTTCTAATTTTTAATATGCAACACTTTAATGTGTAACCATTCTACAAATATTAAACCAAAAATTTAAGAAGTTTACTTGAATTCTTTTCTTTCTTTCTTTTTTTCTATAGAAACTTGGATGATTTGATTGCTCATTTTGGCTTTCATTTTCTCCAAATTATCACCAGTTTCACAAAGTCCCCAGATTCTTTACTAATATTTTCTTAGAAATGGCCAAGTATAATTCATTCTAAACATTAAAAAAATGTCTCCAACATTGTGGGATATATAGAAATTCTTTATGAAAATGAATATTTTAATGTGTTATAATTCTCAAAACACTCAGTTTCCAAAGCAATAATATATCATTGTAAGTTCACAAAAGTTCAACAAATTCCTTCAAATAGTATCCAACCATGGTCTATTTTTTTCAATGTTCCTTCTTTCTTCCTCCCTCTCTCTCACATACAAATTCAATGTTATTAAAATTTATCAATACAACATTCTCAGAAAATAATCTAAATTTTTTTTTGCTGCCTGTCTAATACAGTAGATTGTTTTATAAAATTAGACCTACTGTGTAGGGTCTAATAATGTCTAATCTAGATAATTGAATTCAGTTTGTTCATTTTGGGAAGATGAAACATAAAATAGTAAGGCAAAAATGAATACCAGTCTAAGTCATTTTCAAGGAAATGTGTTAAATGTATTACTGTCTGAAGTGTTTGATATTTGTTTAGTTTAAGGTACAATGATGTCTTTAGATAAAATAACTCTACCTTTACTCAAAATACTTTGGCAGAAATTTTCCTTGTTCTTATTACATGAGAATTTACCAAATTTTACATTAAGTTTGTAGCAGCTACTAGACTAGAGAGCAAAAAGCAAAATGAAAAGTAAATCTTGAATTTTTAAGCTATGGGAATAATGAGTCTTGGTTGTATCTCAGATTGCCACCTTATTTTTGTTTTGTTTTATTTTTATTTAAATAACAAGAATGGCAAGACCCAGGCTTGCTTTACAATTGGCCAGATGCTGTCACTCTTCAAGATGACAAGGCTTTGAAAGTTACAAATCCATTCTGGAAGGAACTATCTGCTTCTAACCCATTTCTGGATGATATAACTCAGCTAAGAAATAACCAGAAGAAAGAGAATATCTCCATTTTGAAAGAAGATCCTTTTCTTTTTTTAAGAGAAATTGAAACTGGAAATTCTTTTGATTCCTCTGATGATGAACTTGATGTGCATCAGTTGCTCAGCAAGTCTCCCTTAAGGAAATCAGGAAGATCCCAAAGTGTTTCAGAACTTCTGGGCATTTTAGAGGACACCACGAATACTCATCAGAGTATGCAAAACTGTGACCAAATCCTAGCACAAGACTTAGAAAGGCTTCAAAATGATCGAGAGGCTTATAAAATGGCTTGGTTAAGTCAACGCCAATTGGCTCGCTCCTGCTTGGATTTGAATACAATGAATCAGAGTCCTGGATGGGCCCAAACACAAGTTGCAGAGACCATCACAGTTTGTAAACTCAACCACCAAGGAGGGTCCGTACAGTTACCTGAGTCAGACATCACTGTCCATGTGCCCCAAGGTCATGTAGCTGTGGGAGAATTCCAAGAGGTATCTCTAAGGGCTTTTCTTGATCCTCCACAAATGCTTAATAATGATCTTTCATGCACTGTAAGCCCTCTGTTGGAAATCATGTTAAGCAACCTTAATACAATGGAAGCTGTTTTGTTAGAAATGAAAATTGGGGCTGAAGTAAGAAAGGATCCTTTCAGCCAAGTGATGACAGAAATGGTGTGCTTACACAGCCTGGTCAAAGAGGGTCCTTTCAAAGTATTAAACAACTGCTATGTTTATAAAGACACCATCCAAGTCAAGCTGGTAGACTTGAGTAAGGTGATGTATCTAGTGATTGCTGCACAACCTAAAGCTATTCAGTCACCACCTGCTACCATTTGGGATTACATTCACAAAACCATCTCAATTGGAATTTATGGCCCCAAATACATCCATCCCAATTTCACTGCTATTTTTACAGTTTGTGGACATAGCTATATGCCAGGAAAGCTTACAATCCCTGATATTAAAAAGGATGGAAAAAGCACATCTCCTGTTGTATTTCAGCTCTGGGGAAAGCATTCGTTTTTGCTTGACAAGCCGCAGGATTTAAATATTTCTGTGTTTTCATGTGATCCCGATTTTGAAGTAAAAGTGCAAGGAGATGGGAAACAAATTAAACAAAAGCAGTTGGAGTCAGGTGAGGTGGTTCATCAACCAGTTTTCTTTTCTTTAGTAGACTGCAGAGAGATGCACTTGTTTGTTTTCCGTGTTCAGGTGGAGCCTCCTAATGGTAGACCAGTTGCACAGTTCTTTATCACTTCACCTGATCCAGCTCCCAACCTAAAAAGGCTCTCAAATCTGCCAGGTTATCTGCACAAGGAGAAAGAGGACAAGTCCACGCCTTTATTCTCATCAGTGCTTGTTAAATATCCCACATTCCAAGATAAAAAATTGAACTTTACCAACTATGGGGTAACCCTGAAGACAGTGCTCAGACAAAGCAAGATTGACTACTTTCTGGAATATTTCAAAGGGGACACGATAGCTCTTCTTGGGGAAGGTAAGGTAAAGGCCATGGGGCAGTCTAAAGTGAAAGAATGGTATGTGGGAGTCCTCAGAGGGAAGATTGGACTTGTGCACTGCAAAAATGTCAAGGTGATTTCAAAAGAACAAGTCATGTCTGTGTCTGATAGTATCTTTACAACCAGGAATCTTCTTGAGCAAATTGCCCTGCCCTTTAAAAAATTGACTTATATATACTCAGTTGTATTGACCTTGGTGTTAGAAAAAGTTTATGACTGGAAAGTTTTAGCCGGCGTCCTGGGGTACTCTCATCTGGCACTGGAAAACTTTGATCAAATGCAAGCAGACAAAGAATCAGAAAAGGTTTCTTATGTTGTCAAGAAGCTAAAGGAAGATTGCCATGGAGACAGAAATACAAGGAAGTTTCTTTATGAACTTATTGTGGTGAGTATTGCTTGATCATAGTAATTTATTTACCACAGAAAATTTTATTAACTTTTAACCAAACATGTGAGAGGGGAAATATATATTTTTTTAAAAAGCAGCTTCACATAAGTCGAAGTCACTTCATAACAAATATAGAACCAATCCTAAAAGATCATACAATTGGGTTTTTTAGATTTGAGATTCAATTGTGATTTTTCTCAGAAAATAAGGCCCCAAAGATTATCTTTTAAGGGAGATCAAAGGTTCAGTTTGTGCTGGGCCTAAAACTTATAAGACATTTTCTTCTCTTCCTCTCTCAAATATTTAGATAGCCCTAAAATATCAGAATGGCTCCATAATGTGAAAGCAAACTTAAACAAAACTAACCTGGCCATTGCTAGAGGTCTACTTTTCAGTGTTTTTCTTTTTTCAACCCTTTAATCAATGTCCTTTACTTTAGCATTTTTTTTTCTTCGTGCAATACATTATAACCCAAGCAATGATATTGGTGATTCTAAATCCTATTTGAATAGGAGTCTCAGGGTCAACATTTTTCTGCATGGTATTCATCCCAGTGGAAGGCTCAGGGGAGAGTTATAAAGAATTGTTTTGTCTTTGAAGTAGAAATTCAATATTTTGTTAAAATATCAAGACCATATTTCTAAAAATGATTGAACTATTTATTTATAAACAATAATGATGATAGCTAATACCCTCTTGAAACAAAGCTATATGTGTGTTTGTGTGTAGAAAAAAAAGTTTGTATAGGTACATGTGTTGGAGTGTGTACTAAACAAATAACAACAACAATGACATTACACATAACAATGAAAAATGGTGCCCTATAGGAGATGAGTGAGATTATCCAAGGGGGTTCATAACGGAGGAGTAAAGTTTTAAAGTATAAAAGGAGGAAAAAAGGGGGGGCTGGGGTTGTGGCTCAGCGGTAGAGTGCTCACCTAGCATATGCAAAACCCTGGGTCCAAGCCTCAGCACCACATAAAAATAAATAAAATAAATGTATTATGTCCAACTACAATTAAAAAATAAGTTTTAAAAATGAGGAAAAATAATTAGAGAAGAAATTTAGTGTGTGACATTAATAATAATTTATATATTAAAGGAATAAATATTAAAAAAAAAACTTTTCCTCCCCTTCAATATTTTTGACGGTTCTAAAATGATACCAAGAGTAGTTAAAGTTTACCACTATCCATTTGGTAAGTGGATAGTTTTATTATGATATGCTGCAATTTCACTTAATCTGGGCCTTTGGAGGCTGAAATGTTAGAGGCCACACTGCCTGGTGGAAGCTCACGTGCATTTTGCAATAGCATGTTACCTCTCAGAGCCTCACATTCAGTATGTATTGACAAAAGTTTGAATTGAAATTGCTCTCTCTTTTTTCAGTGGAACTCTTAGTCATATTGGCCCAATGACCTAAAAATTTAAGCCTACTCATACCTGGGCATTTTGGGAGTATGATAATTAATACAGTATTTTGAATGGCTACATAGAAAATTCTGGTGGAGAACCCATTCATAAAAGTAGGTCCCAAGGGAGCCCTTAAACTCCTATAGTACCTATGCAGGATTCAGGACTCCTGAATGAAGGCATAAGCTAGGCCATCTCACAGGAAAGTGAGTGAGTGTAAAGTGAGAGCACATTCTTGTCTCTTCAATCTTTCTTTGTACAACAAACACACTCCCTCCCCTTGGACTGTATATAAATTTGAAGAACTGGCCAAATTAGGAAATTAAAGAGTGGCTATCCTTATATATGTGACACTCTGTGAAGTCCTTCAGCATCTGATTTAATCTTCATATTTATTAATCATTGGACAGTGGTATTAATGCTATATCCATTTTTAAATCATTATTTTCTATGGCTACATAGAAAATTTTCTATGGCTATATAGAAAATTCTATTGAATTTGAAGTCTTATAGTTTGTGGAGACAGATTTTAAACTCAGGTTTTATGACTTCAAGCAAAAAGATTCTTTTTGCTAAAAAAAAAAAAAAAAAAAACAAATAACAACAACTGGACTGTGGAGCGGTAAAGCCATTCCACATTACTAAAAGTCCTTCAGGGTCCTGCTGACTTGGATTGCTTCTCACTGAGGCTGTAATTTCTCAGTAGAAATGCAGGGCTTAGTCTAGTCTCTGTATAAAACCACACGCGGCCCTTCTATGTGTATATTTACATGAGAATAAACACACTTCACAACTTCAGTAGTTACCTAATTTGGTCATTCATTTGTACTTATTATACTGTGTTTGTAGATAAAGGTTCCAAGTGCCACTAAGTAATGAGAAGCTGCTAAATACTTTATTGTTGTTGTTTTTCTTTTTTGCTTATTTGACCAGATAAGAGAATGCATAGATATAATCACATTTTTAAAAGTGTATTCAAAGCAGAACAGCAACTTACAGAATTGTTTGAAACATACATGGTAAGTGAAAAAGTTCAGATGCCTAAAAAGGAAGAAAGAGTGGTGGTTTTCCATTTTGCGTGTAGAAGACTGTGTTTTATCTTTAATACCTTATGGTTTATATTTAACACAATTACATTACTGGAGGGAGGTATTTGGTTATTTTTAAAATTTATAAATGTCATTAGCTTCATTCCAAGCTGGAGTACCTGATTCATATGCAATAGGCATGATTCTGGGAAATTTTAGACTCTTGTGGGAGGAACAGTGCTGGAGATTGAACTCAGAACCTCACACATGCTAAGTATGTGTGTTGAATTTGCGTAACAGTGAATCAAATATTTAGATTTCAGAAAACTTAGTTATATGTGTGGTGAAAAGAAGGACTCCAGTTTCTAGAATAAGTAATAAAAATTTTAATTGAAAGGAAAAAATCAAAATGAGTTGTGTTTAATTATGATATATAATTGCTGCCGCAGGCTCTGCTAAAGATCGACTGTCAAGGGTTGGTAGTGCATCTTCTCCAAGAAGCTGTTATTCTGACTTCAGCTGTCAAACTTGGAAAAGGCTGGAGGGAACTTGCTGAAAAGTTAGTAAGACTCACCAAGCAACAAATGGAGGCATATGAAATTCCTCACCGTGGAAAAACTGGAGATGTTGCTGCCGAGGTGAGATTTTTTTTTATATATGTCTAATTTAATAGTGAAAAGTTGCAGAACATGTAAAGGAAATGCAATCAACACCAGACCACATCCATGGATTAACTGATGAGCATACATAAAATACTCTGTATCTTTCAAATGAGAAGCATTTCAAGATACTGAAGTTTAAGAAAATATTCTCTATTATATTAAAATGTGACCTGGTAGAAGCAAAATGTATGTTCTCCACCTCCTTTGGGGGCATAGAGTTCATTATTAAGGTTTTGAGGTAATTTTTTTTTTTTTTCTGTGAAACAACTATTCTAGCTGGGTTATCAGGACAAAGAAACCTTTCCACAAAGAGTAAAAACGACAGAACTCCTTATCAGAATCCCAACAGCTGCAGAAAGTGTTAGCAGTCCAGCTTCCAAGTTCCTGGAGCCTGGGTCTCCATCAGGGACTCCAAATCACTTTAGCCAGGAGGAGCTAAGAACTGAGGACTTATTTTCCCCTCGTAAACTACATTTATCTCTGTAAACTGTACAGGTATTTCTGATACTGTAGTATCAAGTGCCTTGCATGAAATGGATGTAAGTTTTTAGTAGATGAGACAAAAGACCAAAAGTCATTACAAAGGGGAGAAAAACAATATTATGAGGAATGTGCTCTTCAGATTTGAATATTTCATTTCACTGACTAAAAAGTTGTCTTATTGAAAGCACAACCTTTTTTTCCCCTCTTTTTTTCTTAATACTCTATTTTTAAAGAGTTTTCTTGAGAATAATTGGAAAGCTATTTATTCTATCAGCCTCCTTAAACATCTGGCTTCTTTCTAATTGTTTATAGTTTGTCTTCCCCCAATCTTGATGGGAACCAACCAACAGCACACTTTTCCATTATTTGCTTTTGCATAGCCCAAATCATAAATGTCTAAGTCTGTGCCTAGGGCTGATGCATACTCAGAAGCAAAGAGGAAAGCCCCTAGCTGTTTTCCTAGGGTCTATAGTTCAGTTTCTTGTGATTAATACTAACAATCTTCACTCTGAACATGTTATTAAATAGTTAGAAAAATCCATGGTGTATAAACTAAAGCCATTCCAAAAAACCTATAGGGATTTATACCTGTTATGCTAATTTCTTTCCCCCTAACCAAATATAGCTGTAAAAGGTTTTTTATTTGGAAGGAGTTGATTCTTAAATATGATCCATTAATAATTCAAGTAGTTGATTTCAGAACACACAGTTATTAGTTCCAAGTAGGGGATGCAGAAGGAAGGAACCAGTATTAGGATAGGGAGGAATCCAGGTTAGTGATTCCGGTGCTACTTCTGTTTCCTTTATTTCACTTCGTAGGGGTAGATTCTCCAAAATTGCCCTCCAAGTGTGTCAGTGCCCTTACTTGGGATTTTTCACTGATTTTGTCTTCTTTTCAACTTCTCTCTCTTACCTTTGTTCTATCTTTATTGTGTTTAATGGACATATATATACCAGGCAGGGGTTCTGGAAATATTTTGAAAATTAAATTTTTTAATAACAACATAAGCTTTTAGCAACAAGAAGAAAAATCTTGTCTTTGGAGACATATGAGGCTGGCATTTTTTAAATTAAGCATCTCCCAAACTTAAAATTAAGAAATATTACTCAATTTCTCTAATGGCATTATAATTCCTACATAAAAACAAAACTATAAAGCTTAGAATCTGATTATAAGCAAAATACATTTTTCAGAATATTTATTTTGAAAACTGTACAGGTATTTCAGCCTGTTAATACTATAAAAAGATGTAACACTTGCCAAGGTTTTTCCGAAAAATTTAGTGCAAATTCACTGAAGTTTTTCTGAGGATATTTAGAGATTTAAATATAGAGAAGTAAATAAAGTATTAGAAAAATAGACTATTTTTTTAAGTTGGATTTTACAAGGGAAAGTGGTAGGGATTTGGGGAATTTCTGTGCTAATTTTTTTTTTTTCTTTTTTGGTACTAGGGATTCAACCCAGGGGGACTTAACCACTGAGCCACATCCCCAGCCCATTTTTAATCTTTTATTTTGAGACAGGGATTTGCTAATTGCTGAGGCTGGCCTCCTCCTGCCTTAGGCTCCTGAGCCACTGGGATCACATGTGTGCACGACCATGGCCAACTTGTGCTAAAATATTAATAGGCCTGGGGAATGTTATCATATATAGCAATAATTTCTGTATAACACTTTTCCATTGGCTACCTGCTTAACAATAAAGAAAATGCTCCTTCCATAAGGTTCAGTACAAATTTGAAGTCCCCTTAGCCCACTGAGTGCCACCTCAAGCAAAGGCACCGATATGCCTCTGGAGGATGCTTCATCTGATGTACCACATTAAGCCATCTTTCCTGTGGAAGTCCAGGGAATCCAGTGTTCCTAATCATGATATTTTATCCATCTTAGACACCACTCAGCACACAAAGGTGTATTTTAATTAGTCAATGCAGGTCTGACTCTCTTTTGTATCATTTAGGAGCATTCTTTATTCCTTTTCATTTTCTGACTGGCAACTGGATTGTTCATGGCACTTTTTTCTAGGTCTACGTTAAAGACTTGAAAGTAGGTGATCTTCAAATAGTTAATTTTATTTATTTATTAAGTAAATGAAAGTTTCTTCATGGAATTCTTCCCACTTGTTTAGCATTATTCCCTTGTATCTATGCCCTCAGTGTTTTAATCAGTGATACACTTAGTATGTTTTCTGGGTCTCTCAGTTCTCACCATTGGTTTAGGAACAATAGAAATCACCAACAGAATGAAAAATGAATTTTTTTTTTCTATTGAATGCTGAATTGAACATTGGTTTGGGAATTGGGATAAACTGTCAATATTTGAATAACAAGTTTTTATAGAAATATATTAGTAGATGAGAATGATAATAGTTACAACTTATTGACTATTACTGGATGTCTGTTAATCATTATGAGTTTTTTAATTACAATGTCTCATTTCTATCAACAAACTTTGTAAGGAATACATTATTACAATCCCATTTATGTCTATACAAAATAAGTTTGAGCACAAAATAAGTTTGTGATTAAGCTTCCTGGCCTGAATTCCCAATTCCCAATCCAAAGTGTTATCCTAGAACATTGAGCAAGTGACTTTTGTAGGACTTTTTTTTTTTTTTTTTTTTTTTTTAGTAAAATGAGGTGGATAATATTATCTTATTTATCAGATGTCAAATTTTTGTTGAGGATCAAATGAGTTAATATATAAAAATATTTGTGACAATCACTTTGCATTGCTGGGGATCGCAAATAAGTCAAGATGGCGCCTGGCAGTTTGCCAGGAGGAGTGGTTTGTGAGGCAACGCCACCGAGCCATTAAGATGGTAGAGATTACTGATTACTGGCTGATTACTGTATCTGGATGATGCTAATTGAGTCAAGCTGTGTGTAATCAGTTAGGTATATATACCTCTGCTGCTCCGCAATAAAGCGGCTCCTGCTACCTAGGGTGCCTGCTACCTTGAGTTCAAGCTCAGTTCCCGCTGAGTTTCCCCGCAATAAAGCAGTTCCCGCTTCAACCTTCAAGTTGCTTGTCACCTCCCAGTTATTTGCCCAGCCAGACTTCGGCATTGCATATTGTAATCACTAAATATGTAGTACCTGTTATTTTGATGAAGAGGAAGAGGTGAATTTGACCACTTTATGATAGTGAGTGATTTTGGAAAAGAGAATAAAATATAGTAATTTTTTAGTAATATGATTGAGAAAGAATGCAGGTGAGGAAAAAGTCAGCAATAATTTCAAGAAGTCTGAGAAACTGGCAGAACGTTAATGCATGGAAAAAAATGAGAAAATGTCTTGGCTGATTAGCTTTTTCTTATGGGCTGAACATTTAATTTTCCTTGGAAAATCTCTGTTGCAAAAGGTAATAAGAATGTCCTTAGAATAATATGTTTTTCTGGCTTATGTGTAATTCCTGAGTCTGCTTACAGGGATATTGAATTGTCTGGTTCTGTATCTGGACCTGGCTTAGTTCTGGCCTTGGTATTTATATCCCTTTTTTGCTGCCTTTTTTTTTTTTTTTGCAATGAAAAACATAGTTTTATTTTCTTAAAGAAGAGAAAAGTCTTATATGGAAATTCACCTAACCGTGGTAAAATGTGTAGAATAATCTCTCAAATCTTCATTGTTCAAGCTGGAAATTAGACACAATGATATTAGATAATTGTCATCTACTTTGTACAATTCTTTACTTGTTGCTGCTATCTTCAGTTTCAAAATTATACTTGGCTTTTTGGAATGATGGAAGAAAGAAAAAAGGAATGAAATTATTTGTTAATACATATTATTCCAGTGGCCTTTTATTTAATTCTATATCATGTGTCATTACCACACTGAAAAATGAATAGAAATAATAACGATAGTAGGGTCAATATTTTAAGGATATTTTTAAATGGACTTAGATGTAATAATGTTTGATTTTGATTTTAGGTTTTCTTTATCAAGGTCTATTACTAGAGAATTTAAATACAAGGAATTCCAACATCTAGCTAAGCATCAGACCAATATTTCAGCTTCTTCTCTCTTTTGAAAACGACAGCAACCTTATCTTCAATAACATTTATATAATTACTAATTGCAGGTGATATAAAGCCTACATGGATACTGTAAATGATGTCCTTAAGACAGAACTCATGTAATAATCATTAAGAAGGCACGCTTGCCTTAATACTTCTTCAGCTAATGGTACTTAAAATGAAATGTTGCTCCTATAATTTTATGAGGAAGGTAGGTGGATTATTAATCCATGTATGTGGCAAAATGTAATTATCCAAAGGTAGTTAAAAGGTAGTTAAAATCAATTACATTTATTTATGCTATATATATTTTATGAGCTAAAAAAAAAAGACAGAATGCTATGCTTACATCCGAATTGCTTTTATTCATGCCACATTCATCCTCTAGTGCATTTATCTAATAAGTCTTATTGGCTTCTGGGAATAAGCACTCTAAATATGGAAAACTTTATTTTTGTCTCTAATCCCGTTTCATTTC